TTTTTTTGGTTTTTCTCCGGTACCGGGAACCAAACTCACGACCTTGCGCTTGCCAGGCAGGCGCTTTGCCACTGAGCTAAATCCCCAGCCCCTATCTGGAGGTTTTTGTTGGATATCTGGCAATTGATGAGCTTCCTTCTTCATCAGTTATTTTCTGTTCTGGAAACCTTGCTTACTGGTATATTGAGTTCTTTGCTCATGTTTGGGAATTCTTCTATTATGATTTCTGTAAAAAAAATTAATAATTCTGCTGTGTTATCTTCTAGTTTTTCTCTAACTCCAATTAGCTTTATGTTGGTCTTCTTAGTACCATCTAGTTGCTGCTGATTTCTCCTTGTTCCCTTATCTTTTGTGTGGTTTCTCTGAGTCCTTCATTGTAACCTACCATTTTGTACTCAATTTTAGACACTGTTTTCACATTGCTCATTTCTGCCATTTATGAATTCTATAGTTTTCTATTTCTTGTATTTCTATCTGATATCATTTCATAGATTCTATGTCTTTGATGAATTTGTCATTTATGTTCTGAACGTTTGGGGCAGCTCTTCCAATTTTTTGTTTGCCCTATATCCATATTGGGCATACTAAGCACTAATTCTATGCACTTTGGAGGAGTATTTTGTTTTGTTTGCTTGTTTTTTTTGTTTTTCTTCAGCTTGGTTTGGTATTGTTTGTTTGCTGTCTTTTTGAGACAGGGTCTTGCTATGTAATGAAGGGTGGCCTTGAGCTCACTTTGTAGCCCAGGCTGGTCTTTTTTTTTTTTTTTAATCTTTCCTTTAAATGTCCATGCTGCTTTTTCTTTTTAATTTATTTGTTTATTGGTCTTTTTGAGACAGGGTCCGCTATGCAGTTCAGGCTGGCCTTGAGTTCACTTGTAGCCCAGGCTGGTCTTGAACTTTCAACAATCCTCCTGCCTCAGCCTCCCAAGTGCTAGGATTACAGGTGTGCACCACCACACCCAGCTCCAGGCTGGTTTTGAGCTTGCAACAATCCTCCTGCCTCAGCCTTCTGAGTGCTGGGATTACAGGTGTATGCCACCATGCCCAGCTTGGTTTGGTATTTTAAAACAGGGTCTATGTACTTCAGGCTAGCCTTAAACACACTTTGTAGCCTAGGTTGGCCGCAAACTCATGGCAATTCTCCTGCCTCAGCCTTCTGAGTACTGGGATTACAGGCATGTTCGATCATGGCCAGCAAGGTCATTTCTTTTTTGAACTAGGCAAGTTTCTTCAGTTATTCTCTAAACATTTCATAGAGTTCTGTTACCTTGTATTTGCTTTCCTCTCTGTCTGTGCCTCCTAGATCTGCCTTGAAAGAACTGGAAGATGTTGGGGGCCTTTTGTTGCCTGGTTTTCACGTTCCTGCGTGTATATGTGTATAAATATGTTTTATCCTTTGGAGCTGAGAGTTTAGAATAGTACAGAGGAGAGATTTTAGTTGATAGCACGATTTTTTAGTTAGGTTTTATCATGATATGTTCCCTTCTTTATTTGTCCAAAGATAATTTTCAGCTCTTCAATTATTTAGTTGAAATGATTTGGGCTCTGACACTGTGTTGTAAGGAGGGAATTACTACTGGGTAGTAATGTGCATCTGCAAATTCGACCATACATCATCTATATGTGTTTTACCCTGCATTGACACTTATATCCTTTATCCATCCCCCTGATAACCTCTGCTATATTGTTAGTAGCAGTCTAAGATGTAAAGCAAGAAGGGAAGAGAAGAGATAGAAAGATGGGGAGAGGTAGATAGGGGACTTAGTAATAGGCTAAGAAAATTGGATAGAGGTTCAGGTTATGTTGGAGGTCTTTTATATTTGGGGTGCAGGGTTAGTGTTGAGGATTTAGAGAAGATATCTATGGTAGGATGGGATGTAGGGAGGAGTTGTAATTTGGGATTGAGGATAACTACGAAGTTGTCAGAACCTGCTGATACATACCAATCATGTCACTTTAAATTTGTTTTTAACAATTTCACCCTTTTTTTCAATACCTTGGATGGTGATATAGGATTGACAACAAGTAGACTAGGATATAAATAATGAGAAAAAACAGAAATAAGGAAGAGAACAGTTGAGAGAAAGAAAAGTGAAAGAAGAGGACAGCAAATGAAAGAAAGAAGAGACAGAAGGTTTCAAATTTTTTTTTATCTGATATGAAGGGCTGGTGGATATGGGCACAAGAGAGTATCCGTGCAGGCAGGCACAAAAAAGGAGAGAGAGAAGTATAAGTAGAGACTGAAGAAAGCTATGGGAACCAAATACAATGCTGATAGAAAAAGTGGATTTAAATCCACTAGATAAAATTACAGTGAGGGTTACCATAATATGTCCACAAAAGATCCTACTTCAACTAAAGCACTAGTTATTATTTTCAATCTCACACAAATACCTACAAGTGCATATACCAGATAAAGATGAAAAAAATCCACACTCATACAAAAAAAACTTTCCCAGTCCTATTCAGTAACAATTCCCCCCTACATTCACAAATGGAGAACATGTTACTTGTAATAGCTGTAGATGGTTAACATCCAGTCCTCTGTGGATGAGACAGGAGATCAGATGCGTGCAATGGTGCTTGGCCTGGTCCCACGCCCTACAGTTTATACTCTTGCCTGCCGGTGAGTAAAGGGGCTTGGGGACCCAGACAGACTCAGAGCTTCCTATCATCCTCTATGAATGCAGTTCTCTGCTTGGTTTCAGTTGTGCTCCTGTTTGCATGGCTAGCTAAAGGGTTTTTACCTGTGTCTTATGAATACACATCTACACTGCTATGGAGACAGGTGTGCTGTGGCTGGTCAGAACAGTCTTCCAATGATTTCCAAAGGAGACTTTTCAAACTACGCTCCTTATGTCCACGATAATCTTTCAGATACTTAAGTCTATTCTTTCACTACCACTCAGGGTAAGTATCCCATGCAACCTCCTCTGGCTTCACTGCTTCTCTAGAGCACTCCACATGTACCAGTCTGAATCTCACAAAGCATCGCTGTCCACTGTATCCATCACTATCCAGTGGTGCCTGTGCCTTTCAGAGCTCAGCAGCTTTGGCTGCTGGTGGAAGGTTTCCCATGCAGGCACCAAGTTCTGCTGCATCTGAGTGTCTGGCAGCAGGCAGGACATCCTGCAGGCACAGAAGACTTGGTATTTGGGGTCACAATGAGGGAGTGTTGTTTTTCTCCTCCCCCAGATCACACCAGTCACACTTACCCTGCGTCTGAAGCTTGCTGAGCCAATGCTCCCCCAGACTCTGGTCTTGGGTTCCTAATCAGGACCATACCTTGGTTCTTTCCTAAGGACCTATTAGTCCCACCACAGTCAAAGTCTCTAAATGATTGTGTGGCTTTCAGTTTCTCTGGTGCCCTGTTCTTCAAATTTTTGTGCCTTCCCAGCTGCCTCTACCAGTAAGAATGAAGTTAGAGCCAAGTAGGCACTGCAGAGCATTGCTAGACCAGATGCAAATCACAGCAGCCCAGCTGCTGCTGCAGAACTCAGCTTCTTCTCCCAGGGGGCAGAGCCTCTTCCAAGATGGCACATTCACCACAGGGTGGCCCAGCTCCCCTTTCTCAATGTATAAATTCACCTAATGAGGTTCTCCTTCAGGCTGTCTTCCTGTGTTTGGGTCTTTGTTCACTGCCATCACACTTCCCGGTACATGGAATGCCAAGTGCATGTCTTGCAAATGTCCCACAAGCATAGCTACCTCTAGTTAGTCATGATGGAATTGAGTCTAGTATCATTGCTAAAGTAAACATTATCCTCTGTAGAAATGGTCATTGAGAGACAAGTATGGTGGTGCACACCTGTAATACAGCCCTCAGGAGGTTGAGGCAGGAGGATTGCCTTGAGTTTGAAGCCAGCCTGGGCTACATAGTGAGTTCAAAGCTAACCAGAGCTATTTTGCAAGATCCTGTCTCCAAAATATCAAAAAAATGGCCATTGAGAACAAGGAGCCACTGGTAAGGAGTAAATAAAAATGAGTCAAGATCAATACATTGGTTCTAAACCATGTCAAAGAACTGCCCACCATTGTTAATTTTAAAAATGTAAAAATTTCAAATGAAGTTTTTAAAGAACACAGGAAAATATATATTTCTTTCTCTGACTAAACTGTGAAAACCCCTGTAGCAGATACAATAAATAAATTTTCACATTTAATTGTCCAACCACTCTTGGTAATAATAGGCTGATTTTGCATGTTGACTTTTGTCTAACATCCATCCACATTGTCTATTTCAATGGGCTTGAATGAAATTTCTTGAAAACAACTACATCTTAGAAACATTATGTTTTAGTTTCCCATAGGCTTCTATTTGTCCAATTTCATTGGATGCCTGTGTAAAAATCTATTATGAAACAAGGGTTAGAGACATTTATGATCGCTCTCACATTCACATTTTCTGTCTTTTCTCTGAGAACCACTTCATCAGAAGATAATATATCTTTTTCAGTTGCACACCTTTTTGAAGAACATCCAGTTTAACAATCCTGCTGGAGACCAAGTGACTTTGGACAAGAAAGTAAAACTGGATGCAAAATATGACATCCTCAACTACTGGAATTTTCCAGAAGGCCTTAGACTTTATGTGAAAGTAGGGGAGTTCTCCCCTCATGTTGCAAATAAGCAGTTGACTTTATCTGAGGAGATGATACAGTGGGCCACAGCAATTACAGAGGTATGTGGGAGCCGATCACAAAGCACTTCACTAAATGTACATACACAAAACCTGGCTATGGGTTTGTTACCTTCACCATGGTAAGGAAATAATTACATATAGACATGCAACTCAATGCTTAATGTAAAGAATGTTGTTTCCCACTCTTCTTATGAATGGGAAAAGCATATTTGTTAACCATAATTGTTGAATGTTCATATATTTCTGATTACTAAATCAATATAGCGTTCAATCAAATAATCTGGTAGATACAGATATAGACATATTTAATCACTCTAGTTGTGAAGGATTAAGTAAAACTCTTAAGAAGTTAAACACATATCTGAATTTTCTCAGACTCCTAACTCTGTGTGCACTGAGAGCTGTCATCCTGGATTGAGGAAATCCCCTCAGGAGGGAAAGGTTTCCTGTTGTTTTGATTGCATCCCTTGCTCAGAAAATGAGATCACTAATGACACAGGTAAGAGTGCATTTCATGAACAAATTCTCCACCTCTATTTTGTGTTCCCATCAATCCTTGAAATGAAAACACAACTTTAAAGAAGAGCAAAGGCAAGCTTCTTTATTTCTGCACATAGCAATCTAATTGCTTTACCTAGATCAACTGCCCATTTGGAAAACCACATTCTGTACTCTGAACTACACTTTTAATGGATTAGGTTTTCTGCTTTTGCTTTTGCTTTATTGGAATCAATGCAGGGATATTCCCACATAGAGTGAAATCTACCCACATTTTATTGTGTATTATTTTGCTATATTTTTATTTTTGGTATATGTTTGCAGTACATATTGTTTAGATTCCTAGAGAGTGAGTCTGTGTACCTAACATATCTTATTTTTTCATTCCTTTCCCCTTTTGCATCTCTTTGTCTCCTTTGGCTTTGGAAAAGATCTCCATATTTTTTATTATCTGTTTTAAATTTTGAGCTTTGCTTATATTTTGGGTTTCTAATGTAAGAAACCATGAGTACTTCATCTTGTGTGCCTAATTTCTATCACAACATTATGGTCTGGAGGTTCTTCTATTTTCTTCAAATGACTGAAGTTTATCATTCGCTACAGCGAAACAATACTCAGTTGTGTTTGAACACCAGGTTTTTATTACCCATTCGTCTACTGATTCATCTGTTGGTGAATGAATAATAGGCCACTTCCAAGAGTTAACTATTATGAATTGTGCTGCTATAAGCTTGAGTATGAATATATCACTGTACTATATTTTCAACTCTTTTGGGAAGATACCTAGAAGGGGAATAGCTGGGTCAAGTAGAGTTTCTATTTTTAATTTTTGGGGAAATTGCTATAATAATTTGCATAGTAGATTACATTCATAACAACAATATAAAAGCATTCCCTATATTCCACACAGCCTCACCACCATTTTTCTTGGATTTCTTAATTATACCCATTCTTTCTGAAGTAATATAGGTTCTCAATATTGTTTTAATCAGTATTTCAGTAAAGGTGAGAGATGTTAAACATTTTTCCTGTACTTATAAACTAGGTGTACTTCTTCTGAAAAAGATCTTTTCATTTTCCCTTTTTATTGAGGGGGGGTCTTTTACTAGGGGGGATCTCTTTTTTTAAGTTCTTTATATATTCTAGACACTAGTCCTCTGTCCAAGGAACATCAAGCAAAATTTTCCCATTCTGCAGGTTTTTAGGGTACACTAGTGGTTGAGTGGTAGAATTCTCAACTCCCGTTTTGTAGATTTTCTTGCCAGTTTGTTCTTTCCTTTGCTGTACAGAAGTTTTTTTAATTTGACAAGATCCCATTTCATGATTCTTAATGCTATATCTTGTGCAAATGGGGTTCTGTTCAAAAATTCTTTGCCTGAGCCTATATCTTCAAAAGCATTAGCTATTTTACCTTCCATCAGATTGTTTCTATTTTAACATTTATATTCTTGGTCCATTTTTTTAATTTTTTAAGTTTATTGGTACAATTTAGGTATGCATAGTGACCACATTCATTATAGGAAGTTTGTATCTGTATATAATATATCTTGATTCCTCTTTTTCCTCCCATCCCCATCCCCTTTTCAAACTCCTTTCCCCTACCCATTCACAAAGGTGAATTTTCATTTTATCCTTCTTTTCTCTTTTTTTCTTTCCCTTCCTTCCTTTCCTCTCCCCCTTCCCTATTTCCCTTTTCCTTTTGAACAGTGTCCTAGTTAACAATATCCACTGTACATTTACGTTCTTATTTACTGTCTTGGTTACTTTTCTCTCATTGCTGGGACAAAATACCTGACGCCCAAAATTAAGGAAGGAAAGGTTTATTTCACTTACAGTTCGTGGAAGTTTCAGTCCTTACTTGGCAGATTATAAGGCAGAGTGGCACATGGCAGAGGGCTACAGCTCAGGGCGGCAGAACACAGCAAAGCAAAAATCACACACCAGGGCAGAAAGGGGGAGGAATGGCCTCAAGCACCCTTTTCCTCTCCATTACATATGCAAACTATCCACCCCAGGGCGGGTGTAGCTCTCACACCCATCAAACTCTAAAAGCCTGCCCCATGGCCACTTGAGGCTTTGCGGGG